TAATAAACTGTTTAGGTTTTCTGAAAAGCAGAAGGCAGACACCCACACACCCACACACACACACGACTGCATAATAAGCAAGTGCTTGAAGGGCTGTGCCTCCAAAAGCAAACAACAACAGCAGCAGCAGCAGCAGCCCTGCCACTCGTGACAGAAAAGCCCACCTCAACGATTCTGTTTGACTAAGAGCTGGGGCCAGGGGCATGTGTGGCATCGGTGGTGGTGGCAGTGGCATGCAACTGCTCGACTGCACGACTGCACGACGTGTTTGCCGCTCCTGGAAAGTGTACGCAAATTTGCATAGATTGAAGCATCACGTTCGCGTCTCACCTGCACAGCGAAGGGCAAGGAGCAGGAGAGCGAAAACGAATGAAGAGCTCGGAAAGCAAATCATCGAATATCTGAGCCACAAAAATCGATAATTAGTCGATTGTTGGTTCATAATTTGCATAGTCCACACGCAAAATGCTGCAATCAAGGCATTAGCACTTTTAACTGGCATTTACGATACGCAAATATCAATAAACAATCGATTGTCGATGAATAAGTCCCTAAATATTGTCATCTTCGGTGACCAATCGACTTTGTGGGACACAAATATCGATATAAATCGAATTTCGAGGATCAGTTCTTTTAGAGTTACAAATATCGATAGGTTTTATTGTTCTTAGGATGGTTACATCGCACTGATGGCCTTCATTGATGGCTTTACAGCAGTACAGTACTTCCATATATTTACCCATAGAAATAGTGGAGTGCCCTCTCGAAAGACACAATTCCCACTGTATCTTAGGCCTGTGACAGCCACTTGTGGCCACAATTAAAGCAGCCACACGCATCCCACTCTCTGTGTGACAGTAGAAGCCTCCCCACCCCGCCCTGGAAAGAGTATCCACACTTCTTTCGGTCTATGGCTGGCTGGCCTTACACTGTTTTAGCTCTGCCTCAAGTGGCAGGCACAGCGAGTACTACAAAAGATGTACGAGACACTGTTGTTGTGGCTGCTGTCGCCCTCGAGTGGTGGGCAAAGGGAAAACTTTTCTGCTACAGCGGGTGGGCGGTTGGGTGGAGAGGGGGGAGCGGTTGGGTGGTTGGGTGGTTGGGCGGCTGGGTGGTTGAGCTGTTGAGAGGTTCTTGGTGGTTAGAAGCTGTCGCGAACACAGTGCGCATCATAATTATAAACGCACTTGAGATGGGAATTAATTATACAAATTGTGAGCAAATCGAAACGACCGGGGGGGCAAAGCCGAGACGAGGCCTGCCAGAGGACGGCAGCCACATTAATTAGCGTTCATCAATCATGTTTGACCGCAGCTCCAGCTACAAAGGAGTCAGTGGCGAAGGACGCTCAAGGAATCAACGCCCACAATCACACGCGCAATACCAACATTGCAGCCCATCCCACCGCTCCTCTTCGCCCACACTTCCTCGCTCTGGTACAAATATTGCGCAATTTGTCGTCATTATCCGGGATATTGAACCTCATAATGTGCGTCGACATCATCAATTCAAAAAATTGTTGACGCGCCACACCCCACCGCCACACAAAGGGGTGGCCAGGGGCGGCTAGGGGCGGCCAGGGGCTGTGGTTGGGTCGAGGGAGTGGTTGAAAATCGATTAAGGTTCAAATATATCAATTGGAATGGACAAAAAATGAATCAAATATTCAAAAGATAAACTAGTCATTCCAGTAGTTTATCGAACTTGATCGATTTTCGATGAATAACTTTGATAATTGTTCGATAAAGTTCTTAAACCTACAAATATCGATAACTATCGCTCTCTTGAATGTTTGCCATTCGAAACCAATCGAATACCTATTATATTTGTATCCAAAGTGCATTTCAATCTGTACATTGAATCAGTCCGTCGTTTCCATCAATTACTCAGCGATTGCCATAGATAATCGCACTATCGATGGCCATTTTTCGCCACCGACAACTGCAATCAGAGGCAGATATTACTTCCTCCTGTTTATCTGTGGCAGCCCATCGATAATTGGAAGGAAGAAAATCGAGTGGGAAGAACCCAATCGAATCGATTTAAGACCCCTCCCACAGTTTCCACGGCGGTTAATGCGGTTCCGTTTCTGCCATTCCCACTGCCACTGCCACGTCCACTCGCATTCCCATTCCCATTCCATTTCGTTCCATTCACTTGGCTCCATCGTTCGCTCTGCTTCAGTGGCAGACAGAATTGACAATCATTTTACACTTGGCAGGATATTATGTAAATTGCTTTTCATATTTGTGCAACATTTAAATTTACACACGCACACACAGAGGAGAGATCCCAGAGCCCAGGGACCAGGGACCAGTGCCCGTATATAAGCGGATGACAGCTGAGTGGGAGGCAGGGGCAGGAAGTTTTGGTGTTTTGGGGTTTGAGGGGGTCGGGGGCAAGTAAATCACGACTCACGGCCGCATTTGGTGGATGGTGTTGATGTCAAAGGCACAGAGCTGCGGGGAGAGATTCCAGCAACATCATTATAACGATAGGCAGAGCAGGGCGGGCTGAGCAGGCCCCCCCCCCCCCCCCCCCCCCCCCCCCCCCAAAGGCTGATTGAATGAAAGGCCGACCGACTGACTGCCTGAGCGACAGGCTGAATGAATGAATGAATGACTGAATCAGAGACTGACAGAATGAGTGGAGGCCGCAGGGACAAAATTAACGATGCGTAAAAAGTCGCTTACGCCGTCGCTTCCATCAACGCCTCAAATGGGGCATGCCCCTCCAGCCATGGCTTGCAGGTGCGCCTCCGCTTTAATGGGTATATGGCGGTCGAATACAGATTGATCTCCATGCTGGCTGGCTGGCTGGCTGGCTGGCTGGCTGGCTGGCTGGCTGGCTGCCTGGCTCTGTACTTTGTTTATGGCTGATTGTGAGAAGAGACAGCATCGCCCGCCCCTGGGTGTGTCCTGTGTATTTCTGCCTTTTTTTCCCCGCTTCCTTTACTTCTTTCCATCTCACTTGTTCTCTGTTCTTCCCACTCTTTTTGTTTGTTAGTCTGGCAGCGGAAAAAAAGGGAAAAACGTGGGAGAAGCAATCGCAATGTGTCAGTTTTAATGGGCCTGCAATTGCCGCAGGCAGGCGCTCGATGCTCGATGTCGGTCTCCATCTAGCTCCCTGCCTCCCGCCTGTCTGCCTGTCTCCGTCTCTGGAGAGAAGATATTGGTGGAACCGATTGGGTGTTAAGTGCATTTAAAGCCAAAAGGACCCGGATACGGGCCAGGACTCTCAATTAAACCACGCGGCACCCGCCCCGGGGGGCACTAAGCAACGATACGACACCCATCCATCCATAAGTAAAGTCCGAGACCGAAACCATATTAAAGGTGGGAATACAAAAGAATATGGAAATACGAGTACCAGCTAATTGGAACTCCGACCGTCAGACTGATTCGATTCGATTCGATTCGTCAGGCAGTCAGCCAGTCAGGCAGGCAGTCGAGAGGCAATCGACTAATTGGTTTAATATTATGCATACGCTCCGGTCGTATCGTATTCGGTGCTGTACGCTTCGATTCAATAGAATCCCTTCCACAGCTCCGTCCACAGATGATTGTGCCTTTGTCGGTACTTCGCTTTGATGGCCTATCGAATGAATGCATGCCTTTGACTGCGATTACTCGCAGGCTTATCGAATGGTTGCGATTAAAGCATCCATGGAATGTCAGGGAATTCCCTTAATGTATAACGATGCATAATCGAAGGTATCGAATCATAATAATCGATTCCCTATCGATTACTTACCGATTATTAATCACTTTCACACAGAACTTGTATTAATCCCAAAGCGAATCTTTTGCTAAATACAAATAAAACGAATATCGCCATTTCTGCGCTCTAAAAATCATAAAAATTGACTGCTTTTTTAATTTCCCAATTTACTGAATTCAAAATAAACACATGGAACGCATATGGATGAGTGGCCATGTAAGCATAATCGAATTAGTGCTCAAAGTTGTATCGATTGAAAAGTTTCATAAACAAAAGCCACACGCAAAAAACCCAAACAAAATTCGCACTTTAATCGATTTTATATCGTGTGAGTGGGTAATTCCTTTAACCTGCTGGTAAAATGATTAAAATATAATTGAATAACGGGTGTAATCGCCGACTGTACTGTCCGTTCCGTTCCGTTCCGTTCCTCCAATCGGAAAACCACTACACCTGTCGCCCGGGGGCCATGAATTGAGGCATAATTGAATCAGCATCATGGCACTCGGCGTCCATCAGGAGATGCATTTTCCCCACACACACATAATACGAGTGCCATCCGTGCCCATCCGGATAGCTGGACATCTGGGGACTGCACCTCTGATCCTGATTATGATTTTGACTTTGATTTTGGTTCCCATAATCCGTCGCTCTTCAACAGCTCGAAACTCACCTGCAAATGGAAGACAAGAGAAGCGGAAAAATTGGTTAGGAAAATTCGTTGCAAAATACATAGAGCGTTGGTGTGTTTCGGAAAATATGCGACAATCTTTAGGCACAGAGGCCGTGATGCTGTGATGCTGTGTGTGTGGGGGTCTGGGGAATGGCTTATGGTCGGTTGACTGTGCCATAAAGTGGGTCAAAGGTCTCTCTCCCCCCGTACAAAATGTAGTTATAAAATCCCAAAATCAGCTTTCCACACGCTCCCCCACACGTACATACATATATGTGTGTGTGGAAAATGTATTTGCCTATTTACAGCCTATTGCACATTTTGATGGCCAAAACCCCAGGCCCAAGAAAAAACGAAAACCAAAAAAAAAAGACTAAAAACGGAATAGAAAATTGTTGGAAACTTAGTCGAGCGCACACCGAAAACTAAATTGAATTTAGCAGAGGGCGATGATGATGATGATGGGAATGGGAAATGGAATGAGGGAAAAAACAGGCCAGACTCTCCCAGTCTCTCCCCCGTCTCTATCTCTCTATCTCTCACTCCCCCCTCCATTTTTGGGTGTGTTTTTTGTTGTTGTTTGACCCTCACTCTGGTCCCGACTTACCGAGAATGCTTTGAGAAATACCAAACACTGTATAATGCCCTCCATGGTGTCGCCGGTGAGGCAGAAGGTGCCCGTCAGGTGGCGGCCCTTCCGTCCCACTGTGGCCGCCGCCAGGGAGGCATGCACCAGGGCACGCTGCTCGATGCCGGCGCTGCCCTTGCCCCCGCTGGCAGCGGTGGCGGCTGTGGCGGCAGCTGCTGCAGCGGTGGCCACCACGCCGCTCGTCAGCATCCGAGGCAGCGGGGCGGCGCGCATCAGCCGCTCCAAGGAGTCCATGTTCTGTGCGGTTTCTCTATCGATGTTTATCGGTTGATTGTTTTGTATCGATTAAAATCGTGTGCTTTTGATTTGCTTTGCTTTGCTTTGATTTGATTTGATTTGAGGGGTTTCGGTTTCGGTTTATCTTTTTTTATGAGGGGTTGAGTTTTTCGTTTAGTTTTTCACTTTTGTTGTATTGTTGTTGCTGTTGTTGTTGTTGTTGTTGCTGTTTTGGCTTTGTTTACTGGTGGTTCCTCTGGCGTCACACATATTTTATTCAACTGAAAGCATATTCGTTTGTTTCGTTTGCGTTACACCAAAAAACCCAACACACTCGACAGATGCTCGAGCAGGAATGGGGCGGGGAGAAGCTCGCAAAAGAATTTGCCAAAAACGGAAGGGAAACCAAAATCGAAAACTGAAGACCCGGAGACCTAATCGGTGACTATCGGTCGACATCGAGCGCACAACTGGGAGCGGCAGGAGAGGCTGTCTGGCTGCTGGTCCGTACAGCCACTGTTACAGCCAGTCTATTGTATAGTTTATGGGCCCCGCACAGTCGCAGCATGGGCCACTATCAATGGCCTAGAAGTAGGCAACGCGAAGGCCCCCATAAAACCGACACAAGAATGTCCCAAAGATGAGCTGCAAAATGCAAAATGTCACTGCGTGATGTGCGACTTTGTGGGCATTGGCATTTGGCACATTGTTGGTTCAGAAATATACGAGGCAGAAACAGCAGCGGCAGAAGCAGAAGCAGAAGCAAACATGACAGCAATACTCCTGCGGAGACGATGGCGCTCCGTCATTCCGTGCTGCACTGACCGCTGGCTGGGGACTAATAAAATTCAAGCTAAATGGTTGTTAAAAATTTATAGCAGACATCTAGCATCCAGCATTTTAAGAGCCTCCGCCGAAGACACTGCGAAGGAGCGGGGAAAATGCCGGGAAAGGCAAGGAAGCGCCAGTCAAAAGCTGACAAAGTCCTCTGGCATTCAGGGGATATTCCGGCATTCCACAGGCTGCAAAATTGTCAAGTTTCACTTTTGGAAAAAAGTTTAAGCGCTTCTTCGATAAACTTGAGGCCTTCGAGACTCCCTTGATATCGATAAGTGCAAATTCTTCTCGATTAGACACCATTTAATATTGTTTATCGAATTCTGCTATCGATATTTAATCGATAACACATGGCATATCAAAATATAAACTTAAACTTTGAACAAATTCAAGTAGAAAACGATTTGCTGGTTAACTTTTGTCGCCTGTCGCCCACAGGCAGGCCTCATGTGTGCCCCCCTTGCCCCTGCCCCTGCCCCTGCCCCTGCCCCCTTGCCCTCATCTCTGTAGCTCATCTTTTACGGTTCTGGCAGCAGTTACAGTTGAAGAAAAATAAGCATACAGTCCTTGGCCTGTGGGCTCTTGCTGTATCTCTGGCTCTGTCTCTGGCTCTGTCTCTGGCTTTGGCTTTGGCTTTGCCTGCCATCATCCGTTGGCTCTTCCGCTTCCATTGGCCCTGGCGCTTCAAGCGTAATTTATCTGCTGATGCTGCCCCAGAGAGAGAGAGAGCCACAGAGAGAGAGAGACAGAAGGAGAAACGTTGCTGTCAACAGGAGCGGGGGCTGAGGAGCCTACTACGGCGTGGAGGCATGAGGCGGCGGAGGGAAGTGTGGTAAAATTTATGCAAACCGACGTATGGCCAACAGGATGAGAAGCAGAAATATGCCAAGAGTTTTGTTTGTGGGGAAAGGACTGACTGTCGAGAATGTCGGCCGAGGGGGCTGTGTGCGCGGGTGTGGGGGTGTGGGGGTGTGGCACACACACAGTGTATTAACTGCAGCTAAATCAAACTTTTGAGCCAAGTTATGAATTATTTGCCATTGTGCAGCAGGCGAAACATGCCTTTGTCGCCAGGCCAGAACCAGGACCAGCACAGGAAGTTGCCTCTGACTTTTGCCTCCTCCGCAGAGGAAGGACGTACGATCCAGAGATCCTTTTTAGCATCACCTGTCCGTGTGCCTATCCGTGTGCCTGTCTGCGAGTGTGTGTGTGTGTGTCGAGTCATCCTCTGCCCTCCTTTTGGGACCAGGCCAAGTCAATTTGAGCGGCATTTTGTTGCTGTCCGTAGGCCCCTCACAAACAAGAGAATCCATTCTTTTCTGTTTTTCTGCCTAGCTGTGATGATTCGCCATTTGATTCGCCTCTGCCTCGGCCTCGGCCTCCGCCTCCGCCTCTTTCTGTGGCACGTAAATTGAATAGACAAGAAAAGCAAAAGACCAAAGTTCGGGCCAACAGCAGAGCAGGAAAAAAAACATCAACAACCATACAAAAAAAGAGAGAGGAAAAATCAAGGGGGAATTCAAGCAAAAATTAAGTGAAAATAATAAACCCTTGGGGCGGCGGACAGCACACACACACACACACACACACATCGTGTGGCAAGGAGAGAGACCATTACACACACGTTGGCCATGTTGCCACTGCCACTGCCACTGCCACTGCCATTGCCACTAGCTGGCATTACAGTTAATTAAAGGTGACCCAAGGATCCCTCCCCACTACTTCCACACCCACACCCAGTGGCAGACAACTCACACACACACACACCTTGGGCCGGAAACTAGAGGAAATTGAGTGAAATTTGAGGCGAACTATTGCAGGAGCTCGCTTTTAAATACTTTACGCTATTGGTCATCGGTTATCGATAACTGTGCTTTGAGGTGGCATTTTATCGATAGCTAATTGAAAAATCATTTCTTAGGCTTCATTTCGATAGTTATTCATCTATCTTAACGATACATAAGTGAAATTCTATCGATAAATGTGTTATTGTTCGATGGAAAAAAGTGTGAAGAAATCCCATCAGTTTTTAGTGAATATTGAGGGAAATTCGAGGAGAAGAATGGAACATTTTAGGAGCAGTACTTTGTACTTCCTTTCATTTAATTGATTCACCCATTGAAGTAGAGAACAACTAGAGATGTGCTTTTAAATTATCGAAGATTCTTGATGACAAAGTCTGAGGAAGAGCGACCACACGTCTGGTTGCTCTTCGTATATTTTATCATATCCTTCGTGATTATTATCCGATTTATCTACCATGATTTATCTATAATTAATGACCTTAAAAGTGGGATTACCCATCAAACAGCAACGTGAAATGGTTTTAAAATTTGTAGTAAAAAATCGTCATTGAATCTGTCGATAGATGGGCTTAAGAGTGGATGAAAATATTTATCTACAGAAGCTAACGATTGCCGCCGCAGCCCAGTGTTCTGTGCGGCAGAAGAGTGCTGCGATTGCTGCAAGAGAGGGGCTGCGGGCAGACTGGAAACTTTGCAAATGAATGGCAGGGCATTGGAAATAATGAGCTGTATTTACATTTCAAAGCCCACAGACTCGGGCGAGTAGTCGAGCAGGCAACAAAAGTTTTAGCTGAAGGATTGAGTGGGGTCGGTCCCGGACTTCTCGGGGTCTGTGTGCCTCTGTCGGAGCTCTTCGTTTGGGGGTCTGTTGGCATTGCATACAATTTGTTTTATGGCCATGGCGTGCACATTAAACGCGCACTTAATCACACGCACTGGGCGTGGCCCCACCTCTTTCTCTCCCTCTCTCTCTGTCTCTGTCTGCATCCCCGCCTGCCGCTCCAACAACAATCGTCTGTGGCGACAAATCAAATTGATTTCACTCTGGATTTCGCATCTTTTTTTCTTTTCTCTCATTTATGTGCCTCTTTCGCCTTTCGCTGTTCGTTTCGTTTGCTTTCGTGCCTTATTAAATCACTTTTATTGCCATTGAAATGTGCAAAAGTTTTTTGTGTGTGTCAGAAAAAGAAGAGACCAGGCGAACAGACCAGGCGGACCGACCATGCGGCGTATACGTAATATGTAGAGGAAACCATTCATATTTAAAGGGAAATTGCAACAGAGTGGAATGGAACGGACTGGAACAGAAGGTTCAACTGGAACAGAGTGGACAAGAATGGAATTGAGTTAAATGGAAATAATATTCTGTGAAAGACGGCCCATTAATGGATTCTCTCTAGGCCTAGGCGCTGTCTTTTCCCTTAGGAATGGTGGGAAAGGAACACGATTCCGAAAAAAAGAGCTAATGGAATGCCGAAACTGTAATGGCAATCGACACATCCTTCGCTGGAAAAGCCCATATGAAGGAAAAGTTTAAATTCTGGATTTATGAATCCTTCTACTTGCCCCCCTTCCCTTCCCTTCCCTTCCCGTGTGGAAAGTTAACCTAAGCCACAACTCAATTTGTAATGCAATTTTTCAACAATTTCCCCGTCGCTTATCCCAGAATTTTTCTAGTGGCCGTGGCAGGACCGACCGCATCTCAGCGAGGCGTGTAATTAAATTTTCATGCCACCTGCAGCTGCTGCCACTGGGGCTGGCTGCTGCGGCACAGAGAGAGAAGCCAAGGCAGCGTGCAGCAAGTGGTGCTGCGGGGCTGCTGCTGCACGGACCACTGGAGGAACACAGAAGAATGGCCGGGGCGAATGGCTGCCGGGGCAGGCATCAACGCCTCCGAAATGTCGGGTCAAAGCAGGCGGAAGTAAATGCCGGGCCCTTCACTCGCTTTTCAGGCTTCAGGGCTGTTCAGGCTTAGATCGTTCTGTCAGAGAGTTCGTAGTGCTCTTGAATCTCACTTCAGTCCCCATCCACACTCCCATAGACAGACTCTAGAAACTTGTGCTTCGGAAAAAAGGAAATCGCCCGCTCGAAAGATGCCCAAGGAAATGCCATGCGAGCCGCGGGCGTCGAAGGGACTGCTACCGCCCGAATGCTATGATCGCACCGGGAAAGTGGTGTATTTTGAGAATGCCGCTTCAAGAGTGCCGAAGGTGGAGGCCGCCCCCTGTGGCGTGCGCAGGGACAGGCCTGTGAAGCCCAAGGACGCGCAGGGCAAGCGCATCCTGCCGCCGGGCACACGTCCGCCGGGACCTGTGCCAGGGGCTCTGGCTGCGGTGGCACGTCGCATCGGCAGCAACAAGCCGACGCCCAGCCAGAAGCGGGTCGAGTCCGGCAAGGCCACGTTCTTCCACGTGCAGGGCCAGTCGTGGGAGTCGAAGGGCTTTGCCGAGCTCACGACGGAGGAGCTGGACCGGATGCGG